TATAAGATTTTTAAAATTAAGTTTTAATGCTAAAGACACTTTTTTAAGACCCTTTTTTTGTTCTCTCCACATTTCAGTGGCTTTGTGAGAAATATAGGACTGATAGCTCAAATGAGTAACAAGGCTATGACTAGTCTACCTCGAGTTCTAGCCACGTGGTGCCTGAATTAAGTCAAGTGTTCCTATGAAAAGCAGTTTGCTGATCACAATTTATCTTAGTTTAAATTGGTTGAAAAATCACAACTTTAAGCTTATTAAATCAAGACAACATGTCTTTCCCCGATACTAAGCTAAAAGATATTGAATCCTATATACCTAAATGTAACATTAAGTATGTTATAACTGTGGTGAGCTCTGTGGTTTCTGAGGAAACCACTCATGTATCCAGCAAAGATGCTCACAATATCTTAAAATTTTTGTGCATCTGACTCCTTGACTTCAGGTATGGAGAAATGGAGATGTTTGATGTTCAGAGGGCATCATTTTCAGAGAAGAACAGGCCTTTATTCATTACACATTTCAAGGAGATTCTTTTTAACTTGCTTTGAAGATGGAAACTAGTATCACTTTGGCCCAGAAATTTCATCTGTCTGCATAATCCTCACTTTGGGGTAAAGCCTGTTTATATTACACTCAAATAGACTTCCTATCAGAAACTAGGTAGACACTCATATTACCCAGAGAAAATAAGAACTGGGGAAAGCAAAAACTTAATTTTGACATATCTTCCTAGAAGTTAAAGTTGAATGCAGACTCCATCAACTAAGTGATTGCACGGTGTTAATGCATAGCTACTCGATAACAGCTTTTCCCTAGTTTGCTCTCTTTAAATGTGTTGTTTTAGATAATACGCATCTTAAATATATTAAGCATGTCCCCAAAGAATTTTATTTTGTTTAAAGGAGGAAATAAAAAAATAGTTTAAATTCCAACTATGCACAACTATTATATCCAGAAGCTTAGCTGTAAAATCTTAACAATCTATGCATCCTATTTCAAATAGATATATTTAACCCAAAGGTCAATGTAGATGATTTTAAATTGTTTAGTTGCACCATTTTGTGTTTCTTTCATAGTAAATATTGTTAGCTTATTAAAAATTAATACAAAGAGCATAAAAAGTTTTAAATCTCTAAAGATCCCTAAGCCTTTAGTAAAATAGCTGAATAGCCTCAATATATTGCTGCACTGTAAAAGTGGAATTATTTTTAGATAACAGTCACAATCTTGTGGAAAGTTAAAAAAATCTTTAAGCTAAGAAAATAACAATTACCAAGGTTGCAGTGTTCTTAAGAGGTGGGAAGAGATACCACTAAAATTTAAACTACAAGAAAAGCATCTAAATGGAACGAAGCTAATCTTGAATCTACTAAGATGGATCTGCCATTTAATTTCACTACAGGTTTTACATCCTGGATGCTTTTTGTTTTTAATTCTTAATAAGTAGTTGAACTTTTCTTATTCAAATTCTCAAAATATATTTTTGCATAGAAACACATGTGGTCAAACATATGCTGTCATTGGTAGCTGAAAGTTCAAATGAATCTCAGAAAGAGAAGCTAAGTGTGGCACTTATCCAGGAATATTTGAGCCTCTTCAAGAAGGTAAGAAACTATTTATAGCTCTAACCCAAAGTGTTTGTGTATGATCCAATCATCTGTCTGATCTAATCTATAAAAGGCATCATATACTAAGTGACTGATCCTAACATAGACTTCATTAATCTCTAATTTAGTATCAACCTTGCTATTAATTTCACAAATTAAGAGGAAATTATTTTAAATAACTCCAGATCAAAGATCTGAGTGTATATTCTAGTGGCCCCATATAATGTCATTTAAATGCAAGCAAATTTTAACTTCTCCAAACTACAGTTTCCTTTATAGAAATAATTATATTAAGAGTATCTATTTTGGTCATCTGAACAGTTAAGTAAGTGATCATAAAGATCGATTAATACTCTGCTTGAAATCCAATATTTTAGAAACATATATTCTTACTATCATGGTTTTATGATTGCCTGTATTAATTTAACAGAGATTCAGAGGTATCATTTCTTCAAAATACTTTGTGATTCAGCTTTGCTCTGATCTAGCCCATTTAATGCTCTGTACCTGTTTTGCAATTTCATATGTAGCTTTCTTTCATCTGACAAATCAGGTAACCTATCTTGGAACATGGAGTGGAAATCTATCTGAAGAACTTGGTAAAGTTTATGGATATGCTCAATATTATACAGCTGATTAGCCTATGGGCTATGCTATTGCTGGTAAGAATTATATCCTCCCATGATTATTATTATGAGACATGTCATCTCTATTAGACTTAGTATTAAAAGCATTGTGATGAGGGTCTAGGGACATAATACAGCAGATAGAACACTTGCCCTGCATGTGACTGGCCTGAGTTCATTTCTCAGTACTCTGTAAAGATGGTCCCCTGAGCACTACCAAACTTGGAGTAAAGAATACGAAAACAAAACTAAATAGAAAAGCAAAAATTGTCATGATAAATGTGAATTGGATCTTAAGAGCATTCTCTAAGCTCGTACTTTTTTAAAAAATAGTTTTTTTCTTTTATTTAATTAAAGTACAGTCACTCATGAAGTTATTGGTAGTTCAGTTTTAGGCATACATTGTTTCAACATCATACCACACAACTAGTGTTACTTCTCTCCATCAGTGTTTCCACACTACTTCCCTCTGCCACCACCAGAGTTACACATAGTGGGGAAAGTACCTACTGGTTACCCTTAAGACTGCTTTAGTGCTTACATTAAAATAATGCATGCAAAGTGATAGAACAAAAAATATAGCAGATGAGAGGAAATACTATCAAGGATGGAAGAAATATGACCCAGTGTTAAAGTACACGTCTTGAGAAAGACTGAACGGATATTTTAGCAGAGATGCAAAAAGTGAGATTTATGAAGATAAAATGAATGGTATAGTAGAGCACTCTGCAGAAATGTGTGAATAATAACAGTGATTCTGGTATTAGTCTTAAATTTTAGGTGCATATAAGTTTACAACCTGATTTCTATTGGCTCAATATGATTACTAAATCATTACAAAAAAGATAAAAGCATCTAATTGATGTTTAGATGACTTTGATTTCATGAGCTGACAAAGGCCAGTAAACAGAAAATGATAGTAACTCAGAAACTGAATGCTGTTTTAATAATTTTGTTTATTAACAATTAAACTATTTTATAACAGAAGACTCCAGTAGGTCTTCTAAGAACCATTTTAAATCCTTGGGGCAGGGGGTGGGAGGTGGGAAGACAGAAATTAAGCTCTATTTCATAATCAAGAACTCTCCTGTAAAATGTTCTATGAATCAAATTCAAAGGTCTACAGATCATAATCCACAGGCAAGCCAAAACTCGGTTGGCCAAAAGACCTTCTAAATCAGCCAACAGTCTATGCCTTGTGTATAGATATATAAATATGCTCATAAGTATGTTTATAAATTGCAAAAGGATAAGCAAGGTATGTATATAGGTACCTCTCCTTAAGACAGACCTAAGACTACGTGATGCAGAAAAAGAAAGGGAAAAAACTGTATTTTATTAGTGAATCCTGAGTTAAATGTAGTAAAGAGTGAACCTAATATCCTCTTATGGAAAAGAAAAAAAACACAAACTATGTGGGGAAAAAAATCTGGCTTCTAATCATGGCCATGCTGTAGCCTTATACAAGGCAGAGACACTGAACTGCAGTCTCTATTTTTGAAAAATAAAGTTAACAGTGCTAAATTAATTGAATTGTTTGGGGTATAAGTAAATAAAAACACATAAAGCAAAATACTTGATAAAAAGAAATACACATAAAGTCCTGAGTAAAATACCTGATAAAAAGAAATCTTTCTGTAATGATTTTTATTTTTCAGCAGGAACTATCAGAAAATGTGAGGCATTTTCCTTCTTAAATACTAGAGATAACTCTGTGTCCATACAAATGTCTACCTAAAGAGCCGACTACATGCTATAATTTTTGGCTGTCTAATGAAAAGCAACGTAGTGCAATATTGAGCATGGAAACTGTCGAGAGCAACACCTGTCTGATTTCCTTCAGGCTGTCAGAAGCAAAGTTTAGATCCGCCTCCCAAAATTTTACCCCAAGAAGAACCAGATTGTGTTTATATTCACAATGTCTTAATTACTTAAAAGGTTTCTTGTATTTTAAGAAGAATTTACATAGATATACCTCATGTATGTATAATGATTACCACCATGGTCAAAAATAAAAAATTGAATTTCAGCTATGACAATGACTCCCAGAAGATGAATTGCATAAAAGATACTTGTTTTTATATAGAATTCATAGTTTCCATGGAAGAAGAGAAATATCTTTGAAAAGAATAGTGGCTCTGACATTCATTTGCTTGACTTTGTAAGTCTTGCTAAGTTAATAGTGATTTTTTTTGGGGGGGATGGGGGTTGTTGTAGCATTTTAAACCTTGTCACTATATATTCATAGTAACAAAAAGAAATGAGTTTTTGTGGGAAAGTTATACTTTAAATTGCACGTAAAACTCACACGTGTACATGTAGTCTAATTAGAAAGACAATTATAATTAAGATCTTCATTTTGAAAAATCACACGGCAAAAATGCTGAAAATTACTTTTCTGTTTAGACAGCAAATGCAGTCATTTAAGTTTATTATGATCTTTCCCATGTAAGCCTTGTATGCTATCAGCCATATGCTACATGACCATATCTATTTATAGAGGTGTGGATGACAACTATTAACTAGTAGGGCCTTTGACACAACAAAGAACAGTTTTCACATACAAACTGCATAGGAACCTCTCGTTCTCTGACACACAGATTCATAGATTTCTCGGCTCCCAAACCCACTTCTCTGTCCACATACTGGATCTTAGATCATGACAATTACTGAAAGCAACATTTTAAGTCAACACGTTGACTGTCAGTTAATTGTCAATTTCCACCTTACCCCACTAGCTGATACAATCGGAAAATGGTAGCAGTACCTTCAGCTGTGATCTCAGTCATGATGGTTGGAGTAAGGAAAAGGCAAGTGAAAAGGTCCCGTCAAGTGGCAATTTAAAGAATACTTGAGGATTGGAGAACTCTGGGGGTTCTGTGTGAAAACGTGAGGGCTCTGCGTCTTCTTTTTGCTGGCTGTTTCTGCTGCTCCTTTGTTGTCCTGTTGAACTTTGTCTCTTCTCTGCAGAGTTCTCCCCCTGGAAACAACCTGAGCCCTTTCCAAGCGCACTTGTGGCTCAGCAGAAGTATCAGCTTCTGCTTGAACAAAAATAGCCTCATCTCCCTAGGCTAGACTCTTCAGCACATTTTTTTTTGTCACTCTAGATGGAGAGAGAGAGAGAGAGAGAGAGAGAGAGAGAGAGAGAGAGAGAGAGAGAGAGAGAGAGAGAGAGAGAGAGAACAAGTTCTCCAGCTTCCGAAAGAAATAGGGGGGAAAAAAAAGAAAAAAAAGGGGAGGAAGGGGGTAAAAGCTCTAGAGAATACTGTCTAAACCCCCGCAGTTTCCTAAGATAATTACAGATCTTGGGGTCTATACTGAGAACATGAAATAAAGAGTTGAAAGTAATCTTATCTGTGATAGCTCAGATTTATTCTTAGTGCCCTTAATGCTCAGAACATTCCTTTATCCCTATTTGGATATAGGGGAGGGTCCTATAATGTCTATGAGCCTCAAAGAAGAGGAAGGTAATTGTAACTCATTTTCCCCAAGTTGACTCCTTATTGGTTTAAATCCAATTAGCAAGCACAGTTATTTTTATAAGGCTACATTTAAAATTGCAACTATTAAATTCTAAAGCTTTCTTGGAAGAGATTAAAATTTTCCCATCACTTGCCAATGAGAAATATGTCATGTGAAGTTACACTGACACCTGAGAACTAATGAATTACTAGCATTGTCATTCCTTTAAGTATGAAAACAGAGTACTTGAGATTATCTATACATTAACAAAAAATAGGAGAGGTGGGATTTGCATAACATTTAGAAATCCAGACCACATTTTAGCAAAAGACTGCAACTTTTCCTTGTATCTATTTTAAAAAAATAAAACAGACTCATATCAGCTAACAATTAACCAAATTGGCTGATTAGCATTTCACCTTCCCACTCCTAGACAGGTGTTAATGAGCAGAGAAATATTCAATAGTGTTTGGAAGGATAAGGAGAATCAAAGGGCATTGATAATCACTTAAAGCTAGCCTATCTTTGAATAATCAAGGGTTGCCTATGCTTATCTTTTATTTTCCTCCCATATTTAAAACCCAAAATATGTGCCTTTAAAATTTTACCATTCACTTGCTATCTTTGGTGATCTAAACATCTTGAATTTGTAGAAATTTATGATAAATAAAGCAAAGTTATTTATATTCTTGTAATATTTGTGACATAATAGACCGGCAGAGTCATATCCAATAGCTTTCTTCCTGTCAGTCTTTCTGACTTTGTTGTTCCAATTCTTTGCACATCAGGAAGTTCTCTTATATTAGCTGGATAAATAGTAAGTGAGCAATCTTAATAACTCACAAAGGAGGAAATAACGCTAGGAAACACTGCATTTTTATGTAAGTATTTACATAAAATGACTTCCAACCCAAGCACTGGAACAAGAGTGTTATTTTATATTTTGTTTTGGGGGCCACACCCAGTGGTGTTCATGCTTACTCCTGGCTCTGTACTCAGGGATCACACCTAGAAGTGGTTGGAGGACAATATACAGCGCTGGGATCAAAATAGCATCAGCCACATGCAGGGCAAATGCTTTAACCTCTACCTTATCTCTCCATCCTTTGGAATCAGAAATTTTAGACAACCAGTTTGGTACTTTTTTACAACAAGGAGATTCTGTTGTAGATAGCACCACTTTCAGGTAAAGTGAATGAGTAGAAATTAGATTCACCAACTGATAGAAGGATGCAAACTCATTACAACCCCATTTACAAAAGAAATTATAAAGGCACCATTATTTACAAAGTTATTCACGGCTGTGTGTCACTGTCACCATCCCACAGTGTTTAAGAGTTCCCTAGTGCATTTGGTGCAGATGATCATTTCCCATTACTGATGGACGGGACGGGGCCATTAGTTATTAATAAATGGCAATTTATTCAAATCAATCAGGATTATTATAGAGAAATTGTGAAGGGTTGGGGGCAGCAATTACACATAGGTGTAGTTGAACATTAACATAACAAATAGATGTAAAAAGCCTTTCCTTCAGGGGAAGTTCTAGGAGATTCATCCAAGGACAGACTATCATCTAGGGGCTCCAGCATTTTAGATTCCTTCTAGGAGAGCACCTAGGGCCAGAGTTCCATTTAAGGCCATATAGCTTTCTTATTTCCTTCACTGGTAATCATTTAAACAATCATATTAAATTTACTCTCAATAGTATTTCTAGTTATTTTGTATGATAAACTCAGTAAAATATATAGGCTTATATCTATGTCCTGTGAGTTTTCCTGGGGACATCTCACTATATTTCCCAGACCAAAGTCCTCAATTTGCTCAAGTGGGCCTAGTAACATCTCCATTGGAGACTTTGTTGTTACTGTGTTTGGCATATCGAATATGTCACAGGGAGCTTGCCAGGCTCTGCTGTGCAGGCGAGATACTCTCAGTAGCTTGCCGGGCTCTATGAGAGGGGTGGAGGAATCGAACTCGGGTCGGCCATGTTGGCTGCATGCAAGGCAAACGCCCTACTGCTGTGCTATCGCTCCAGCCCACCAAAGTCCTCAGGCCAGGTTAATTCCTCCTAGCACCAACAGGGTCCTTATTATTATATTACATTATATTATTTTATATTATATTACTGCTTTTTGGGTCATATCAGAGTTTTTTTCATGATTGTGATCTCAACTCATCATACTTAATATGGCACTTAGGCTGCCCCTTCTTGAAGCCAGGGTAATTTACAGCTTGCCCTGGATCCTTCCCAGTGCCTTGGAGGTACTTACCTTTTGAGGTGTAGAAAACGAAGGTCAAGCTAAGGGCAACTGAGGCTTAAGTCAAATATGTATGATGGATGCTCAGGAGTAAACATTATTCGGAGTAAATTAACTCCAATGGTACAAAAGCATAGCATTGACTGTTTCCCATGTCTATACAAAAAGGAATTGCTCTAAAATAAACTATGTAAACAATATAAAGGAAAGAGAAAAGCAATATTTTACTTACATATATAAAATCCAAAGCCATCAAAAGGTTTGATGTTACAAGTTACAGTGTATGATTTGAAGATATTTGTGACTAACAGATAGGAGAAGAGCACAAAGGAGAGGTTAAAGATAAGCACATAGTATTGAGAGTGCCCCAGTGGAATTGGGAGTGCCTTGGGAGCTCTCTGATGGGTGTAATCCAATTAACCTGAGCTCCCCGTGGGAGGAGAAAGGAAAACCCAATGTTAAACTTAAAATGCTTCGACACTATAATCTAACAGCTGTGTGTCAGGCATACACTGTTCCACCAGCAGCCCTACAACGTCAACTTCCCTGCACCAATGTCCTCAGATTCTCTTCCATCCTCCAGCCTATGTCCTTGACAGACACATTTTCAAGTTTGGTAGTTGTAATCTGAATCTCATGCTTTCATTGTTGTTGACTCTGGGGTTTGAATATATTGATATTTCACTCCTCCATACCACCAATTTACTGAGGTTCATGACACCTGTACCCAATTACTTCTGTCTTCCTATTCTCAGCCACCCACTTTATTATTTTCCTTCCAAGTATTTCTCCATAATCAGTGGAACCAATGTGAACCAGGTATCTCGCCGTGCAAACTCTGCATTCCCTCATCCAGTTATTCTAATAATAAAAGAGAAGGGTGATTATCATATTCTGTATATGTAAAATTTCTGATTTATTTCACTTAACATGATATCCCCAATTCCAAGTTGGAGCTAATTGTGTTATTCCATCATTCCTTGTAGCTGTATACTATTCTTTTGTGTATATACACCACATCTTCAACATCAATTCATGTGCCTATAAGTTTATTCTGAACAAGTGTCCATGTGCCCATGTGTAGGTTACAAACATAATTCTCCTCAGTTTTCTCACAAATGGATCACTATTCAGTCTCATCTCAGTGCTTGTGAGTTTAGAAAACCAGTGAATTGTTTTTCTTTGTAATTTTGTTATTGTTGTTCAAATAATATGGTTACAATAGCATTTAATTTTATAGCATTGTTGTATAATTTCACTGCATACCACCACCACCAGAATGCCTAGTTCTCTGCTTCTAGCAACTTTTATGGATTTTGGCTGTAGTTAACTAAAGAAATAATACTTCCTTATATACCTCATTAAGAATATACATTGGTCAGGACCTAAATAAAATTTGATAACTTGGGAAAATTCTATTTCAAACTCTTGCTTAATAAAATTTTTAAATGAAACTAATGAATAGAAAACTAAATGTCAGTTGTTATTGTTAATAAGACAATAAAACACTAATTTCCTATCATATATACAAGAGAAAAAATTGAGAAAAATGTATTCTAACCAATAAAAATGTTCATAAGATAATATGTTTTAATAGCACTGTCAAGTATGTTGGTGAATATTATTAGGTAATTTTTTAAAAACCAGTGTATTTCTCATTAAAGTTATTAGAAAATTTCCAAATTATTTGAAACTTCAATTCATAAAAATATATCTTTGAATTTCAAAATGATCTCAGTAAATCTTTTTATATCCAAGCAATTGTCATTCTTCTATGGTTAGATGTGTCATTCTTTGGGGCATTCAAGAAATTAAGAAATTGCAAATAACATACTTGTCTTTATTTTATTTTTTATGCATTCATTTTTAAAAGACCTTGATAGTTCACTGGGTTTTAATTTCAACATATCCCATATTAAGTTCTTTTCCCTCATTAATTAATTCTGTGGGTGGAACGATAGCACAGGGGTAGGGCGTTTGCCTTGCGTGCAGTCAGCCCAGCTGAGACAGGTTCGATTCCTTCGCCCCTCTCGGAGAGCCTGGCAAGCTACTGAGAGTATCTTGCCCGCACGGCAAAGCCTGGCAAGCTACCTGTGTCATATTCAGTATGCCAAACACAGTAATAAGAAGTCTCAAAATGGAGAGGATACTGGGCCTGCTCGAGCAAATCGATGAACAATAGGAGGACAGTGTTTGTTTTTTTTGTTTTAATTAATTCTGATATAGTCATACATATTCCATCTATATAGTATCAACATAGGTGCACTTTTCCTACCTTTGCGTATTGAGTCACTAATAAGCTAGAAATGAATATGGCATTGTCCATATAAACTGTTAAAATCATAATGGTTTGTTCATCTATTAAGTGTTTTTACCTAATATAAGCTA